ATATATATATATATATATATATATATATATATATATATATATATATATATATATATATATATATTTTAGACTGTTTAGAGAGACAGACTTAATTAGTTAATACTAATGTGAATAACGTGACTTCACTTAATCAATGGAGTATGTGTCACTATCACGTGACACTAGTTATTTAGGAGTAATACTTTTTTAGTTATTCAAAAAGGACTCAAGGAAAAAAGTTAAATATTTATTAGTGAAAATCTTTATTTCAATTGAAATACTTTTTGAACAAAGGTGTTTTAATATTAGTGCATGATGTAATAATTATTGATAGTTGTTCTCGTGAAAGTTTATCTAATTTGTCACATTGCATACCAAAGATTATATTTGGTAACTATAGTTGTATCGAAGTTGGATAAATTTGTAGCGAAAGAAATGCTATAAGAAGATCTTCCAAATACAACCTTTATAGCCTGTTAAAATCCCATAGAAATAAAAAAAATTCAATAGAAATGAAAATGAATAAGAATGAACCTTGCATGTTAATAAACCTTGCAAATATGCAAGGTTAAATTTTTTTAACATCTATTGAGCAGCAATCCGAATAACAAAACTTATTAAATATCATAATTCAATTTGCTATCAAGATAGAATCAAGAATTAGCCCAAAAAATTACAATATTAATTCAGGCATTTTTACCTTTTCAAGAATTTTTTTTTAAAAAAGATTACAATTGAATGTTCTTTAGTGAAGTTTATATTTATTTCATCAATTTTTTTATTTCAATAAGTTGACAATATAAAAATACATATATGCTCGCATGATTAATTTAGTTGCTCTAGGACTAAAAGATAAGATTTTTAGCTTTGTTAATTGAATTCGAAATAAAACAATAGTTTATATAGAGACCAAATTAATAAGCATAAGATAAACAAATTTTCACGTAAAATAGCACGAGCTAGCCAGTTTTCGGACTGATCATTCAAAAATAGCAAGCTTTTGCAAGTCAATGAAAAATAATCACTATTTTGCTGCAACACGGAAAGTTCCAGCATAATATACCGGAGATCGGTGCACCTGTGTATGAAATTCCAGCATATTATGCTGGAACTCCAACACGCGAAAAGTTCCAATATAATATACTGGATATTAGAGCACCTGTGCGCCAATCTCCAGTATATTATGCTGAACCGGTATATTATACTGGAACTCCAATATAATATACTAGAGTATTTTTTCGGATTTTGAATAGTGTTTTCGTTCAAATTTATCTTTACATAAAAAGTGGCTAAATTTCGATTACTTTTGAAACTGTGACTATTTTTGAATGACCACTTGTAAATCTGGCTATTTTTGAATTTCTCCCAATTTTCACACTAAGCATTGGCAAAGGTAATCTAATAATAGCCCGTTTGGCCAAGCTTCTAAAATCAGCTTATTTTGATAAGTACTTTTCTCAAAAGTACTTTTTAAAAAAGTGCTTTTGGTGAGAAACAGTTTGTGTTTGGCTAATTAATTTGAAAAGTACTTTTGAACAGTAATTAGTGTTTGGCCAAACTTTTGAAAACTGCTTCTAAGTGTATTTTTCTCAAAAGTGCTTCTCAAAAAGTGCTTTTGGAGAGAAGCTACTTTTTTTTGCTTCTCTAAAACTGCTTCTGCTTCTCCTCAAAAGCACTTTTTTTTCCTTCTGAAAGCTTGGCCAAACATCTCAATTTTTGGCCAAAAGCACTTTTGGTAAAAAAAAAGCACTTTTGGCCCAAAAAAGCTTGGCCAAACAGGCTATAAATCATGTAAGGGAATATGTGCGTCCGCCGCACGATCAAACACTGGCAAGGAACTCCGCGCCCGGTGTCATCACATAACAATGTAATAATCTATGCAATTAACATTTCAGCATATAATAACGCAAGGACTTCAACACAAATGAACAAGTCATAACAAGAGATTATCACAGTAATGCTACCCAAAAATATATATTATCTCCACTATGTTAATTGAGTCTCTAGGATGTACAGAGAAAATAGACAAATGCCGATGACTTAGCCTGGCTATGCAAAAGATTACATTTAAACCAAGGACAGTACTAAATATCAATAGTGGGACTCACCAAAAGGAAGAAAGGATAGGTTTTTTGATTTTTTACAAACTTGTTTTTAGTTTTATGATCCTATTTTTTTTTTTACACATGGGAGATTTACTTCTACACGTAAGAGATTTGTCTTTTACATAAGAGATCTAAAAAGGTTAATTTCTTAAATTCAAAATTATAAAAGACCATAATGTACAAATAGCACGAGGGCAAGGGGA